TGCTGCCTCAACAACTCTCCAGTGTAGTCCATGAACCTTTGGCCGACCACGTAGCGAAATGAAGGCCAGGCCACGTTAACTGGTGACGAGCGGACGAGATTACAGCTAATCTTCGATTTCGTATGTACCATGACCATTCAGAGCAGATAAGCTTGACGACTTCTGTTCTTAACCGATCTACACTTAGCGATTCGATTCGCACAAATGACATCGATAAGATATCACTATCTAGAAGAAAAAAACCGAGTCAGTGAAAAATCGCTTTTTCCGTCGCGCACGAATGAGTTTTCGTCGATCGTAGCAGTTAACCGTTGTAAGTCTATTGCTGTGCTGCACTGTTATTCAAAGTTTATTCATCGGTTAAGGTCATTTTTGAAAATAAATTCCCCTATGAGCACAGTGTTGCTGAGATATTTGCAAAGCTCTGGACCTCAGGTGTCTGCTGTGAGGAACGAACGCGCTATTGTCCTTTCCGGGGAGTAACGCGTTCACCACCACACCATGCGGGTCCTTCGTTTCGCCTGTCTCCCAGCTAGTTCTATTTCCTATGAGCTTTACCTTTTTGACAAAAGAGCCAATTGAGAAAACGTTATGCCACATTATGGGCAGACCTTTGACCTTTCTCTTTGTTTATGGACTAACTCATAATTGCGAAGCCATTAAATCTGAGAAACGAAAGAAGAAACTTGTCCTTTATCTTGACCATGACCTCTATTAATTGCTTTTAAGTGCAAGAAGACTGATAAGGAATGTTTCTGCTTGAACTCAATGCATTTCATTCAATTGATTTGATTAGAAATGGGAACACCGTGGTACTTTAGACATACAGAATGTGGCCAAATTATTCACTGTTTCTTATGAACTGCCCTTGTTGAGCTGATGCGATATCGGTATTGTTGCTGCTGTTGTTCCGTGAGGAAGGCGAAATCGCCGAAACAGTAGCCCCAGTCGACCAACAACAGCAGCAGGAACAACAACAGCAACAACAACAACAGCAACAACAACAACGACAACTTATACCGACCGCGCATCAGCGCAACAAAGCAGTTCGTAAGAACATATAAATAAACATTTCGATTATTTACGTCGAGGTTTATGGGAAGTTGATCATTTAAGTTATTCATTGTTTCATTGAAAATTAAACAACACGAACCTATAATTTTGCATAGAGAGTCCCAGAAAAAGAAAACCTTTCACGGCTTTTAAGTGAAATCGAATAATTGAATTATTTCTAAGGCTTTACACTATTTCATAAATAAGCAACTATTCCATTCTTTTCCAGAAACACTTGACTGTGACTCTGAAGTCGTGGTTTCTTTGATTGTCCTTATCTATCATATTAAGATAAGAAGTAGTGATGGTAAGTGAAACGGTGCGATGCATTCGATTAACGCAATGAAACTGTTCTGATTGCAGGTATTTAGTCAATGATCTGAGAGCATAACCAACAACATTATTTTCATTTTCTGACAAAAGTTTATACGTTCCTCATCATTCGTTTTGCAATTTATGTCAGAATCTAATTAGGGGCGCGTGTAGCGCAGTGGTCGGAGGCGCCCTGCATTACACATGGGATCGATTCTCGTGCCGCTGTCCCACCAAGACTTCCATCCATCTGGCGTCGGCAGATTGATAAAAAACTTGTCTGAGAGGATAGCAGCACTGGCTCGATACATCGGTAGGTTACCACGAGTCATTGTAAGGGCCAGATATGCATTCAATCACCTCCAAACGATGCTTAATGAAATCGAATGCATGACACATCCCTCAGGGATTGACCAATGCGGAGAGCTTCATCCTTTATCCTTTTAATTTCAAAATGATCAGTAACATATGGGATTTCACTGCTTTCATTCAGATATCACTGAATTGGACGGTTACATGTTGACTTTAATGAAATTCCAAAGAGATTCTCATGTAACGTCATCCCAATAGAAAAAGCTGTTATAAACAGCGGCAATATAGTTGTTGGTAGACCACGAACATTGGGTTTGGGAGGGTCCAGCAAACTTCCCTCTGCACACGTATGTTGTATTAGTTATCCATGTGTTCCAGTTAAGGAATCACCAGGTTAGACGTATGTGTGACATGAAATTGTTCATGCATAAGAAAATGAGTTCTATTCACGATGCTACATCACATTCTAGGAAAGAAAAAGCCGATTCCTGTTTCTAAATGGCTAGCAGTTCATTCAAACTGAAAACCAGAAGTTGACTTGTTAGGCCTCAGCTGCTATTATTCAAAGTGCAACATTCGGCATTACCCAGGTTTTTTCTTCTCATATGAAAACAGTTCTCTAGGCGTTAGTTGTTACACTTAACAAATAAGCACAATCTTAACCGTTTTATTTACTGCCTACTCTTTTTGATGGCAGGGTATTTTGCGAAATATAACTTCAATGATGCTGAGATATTGGCGAAACTCCGGACCGCAGGTGTCTGCGGTCGGGAACGAACGCGCTATTGTCCTTTCCGGGGAGTAACGCGTTCACCACCACACCATGCGGGTCCTTCGTTTCGCCTGTCTCTCAGCTGGCTCTATCGATCACTTGCTAGACACAGATAGCTGAGAGAGAGGCGAAACGAAGTACTCGGATAGTGTGGTGGTGAACGCGTTGTTCTCTGGAAAGAACCGTAGCGCGTTTGTTCCCCACTTCAAACACCTGCGGTCCGGAGTTTTGCCAATTTCTCAGCATCAAAGTTATATTTAACAAATAAGGTTAAGCCATAATTTTCTTTATCCAGATCCTACAAACAGCGAAAAAGCCGCCAAAACGTACCTTAGTGTCAGAGCTTGTATAAAATTATGTAGTAGATGATATTTACTTTTTCGTCTTATTCAGTTCTGAAATCGTGTATCACTCTCGTCGTTATTCGGACAACAAAGTCCAAGTCCCTGTGTGCAACAACAGTATTGATAGCTGTGATATTAAGCTTTCTATGGAGTAATGTTATAACAGTGTTGTGCGAAGTGACTTATTTCAATTGGATACGTCTAAGGAATAGCTTGTCGAGATGGATCAATCACTTGTTTGCTGACGTTGGAAAGTTGCCGCCGGACAACGTGCACACACTTAGAAAGACGTCATAGAACTGTCTCATTTCCTCTTCATTGATTATGGCAACCACAAGTGAGGTTCCGCTTACAGTCTCTTCATTTTTCTCATCACACGCATTTGAAGGCATTACAGTAGCTGTAGATTTATTTGTAATTCTCTATCATGCTTTCAGTCGCATGATCCATCCACCACACCTTACCCCACCCTAGCTGTCATCATACACCTCATTGAACCCTTTAACCATCCGGAATATGCAAATCTGCAGCAAGAACGTTTGCAAAAGTGCAAAACGCTGACTGGTCGTCCTATAGTTAACTCTCGCATGAGTCATGACCGTATTCATAAAGAAAACACCTGTTGTTGTGCCTCGAAAAGTCTACCCTTGTTCATCGATAGAGGAAAAGACACAATTTCAACACCCTCAGCGTTGCTCTGCTCTCGTTATTTCTGTGTTTGTAGCTCCCAACCACAAACGTCCAGTCGCGTTTCCTCATCCGTAACTTCTCACATGGTTCCAGTTAAGTTACTCAAGTAGTTGAAACACTTTACATTCCTATTCAGTATACGAGTATATTGTCAGTTCTATACTTAACTAATCTCGTAAACGATGACTTCGATTTTTGATTTAGTGATGACATTGATTTTTTGATGATGAGGAATGATTTTGGCTTTTGCCCCAGTGTATCGTTGGCTTGAAATAGAAAAGAATAAGTAGGGCGCTTAGTGTTTAATAACTAACAAGTTACACACATTTGATTAAACAGCACCAAAAGCTTGAGACTTCAGCAGAACGAACCAAATCAACGAGTGTCTGCTTCTACTGGTTTTATGCTTTTCGTCTAGCGTTCAGAAGTCATCCTACACTTCTTTATGCTTTTTGTTTACCTACTAAGATTGGAAAAAGAAGTTTCTTAAATGCGTTTTATATACGAATAATATTGTTGTCATTGATTTCGCAACTCAATAACAAATAGCAATGACACTTCTGTTTTTAAAGCGGCTTTCATTACATATTTATCCTTCGTAAATTCCTCGGACCTAGACACCTGACAGATTTCCTCTACTCTCTCTAACATATATGAAAAACATAGAAAACTTGCCTTCTAACAGCACACAGCAGACGGTGATTGGTTTTTTTTCTTTGGTAACTTTCGTTAACTCTTCAGTAACTAGATTAGTCAGGAAGTTGGAAAACTGATCATCTTATAGAACTGCCTTTGTTTTGGTTAAAAAGTTCGTTATAAGCTGAAATATTTAAAGTTTGTTTAAAGTTGAACGGCGCAATAAGTTTCGGTTTCGTATGACTATCACCTGTATCACCTGTGGTCCCGTTTATCGTCCATTGACTCGAGCGGGCGCCAGTGAATCTTCCATTTTTCCCTGTCGCGTGCAAGAGTAGCTCAGTGGGTTCTGCTCGCTCTAGCGACTCTAGGGACGTTTGACTATATAATACATATTTCCATCTATATGTCGAAACTATTTATTGAAAGGAGTAGTTGCATACGTACAAGTATAACCTGTTCTATCCTTTTACGAGTGACACGTGTAGCGCAGTGGTTAGAAGCGCCTGCAATAGAGATGGGTTCGACGCCCTAGGCTCACCAAACCCTTAATCTAGCCGGGATCGGCAAATTGGTACCAGACCTGTCTGGGAGGACAGCAACGCTGACTCGATGCATCGATAGGCCACCGCAGGTGATTGTAGAGACAAGATATCCATGCAGTCACCTTAAACGATGCTTGATGGAGTGGAATGCATGGCGCATCCCTCAGGAATTGATCGATGCCGAGAGCTACATCTTTTTTATTTTAGGAACGATGAACGGCTATGCCGAGCATTTAATTAACGCCATCGATTAAAAATGTTGTGACCATTGAAAATCATACCACCGAGAACATCAAGTTGCACGAAATGTGTGACTATCTGTGTGTGTTCAGGTGGATGGTCGCGCTTCTAGTTGCACTGGTTATTCTGTATAAGGGTAACCACTATGGGACTACTAGACGAAGTCTGATCAACGTCGCCTTTGCGACGACATCTGATGACGACGCCTTTGAGACGACATCTGACGACGACTTAGCCCTAGTGTGGATGGACACCGCACATCGGACTGAACTCGTTCACGTGCGCTCCTCACGCCTCGTAGCTCCTCAATCCGCCCAGCTACGTTAAAGCGTTATCGATCGCTAACCGGAGCTATGCGTCAGCACAGGGACGAATCAGTGCATTTCCGTGCGACTGTTGATCGCTTGATTGATTGGATGTGGTACTTAAACGGATCACGAAAGATAGTGATTTGCAGGGCTATTTAATGCCCGGACCACATTTTATTTCTTTGCTTATTTGTGTTTTGTTTACTGGTACATTATCCTCAAAAGGATCTCATGGAAATCTGTACCTAAGAAGAGAATTCTGTGCATGATTTGTTCATTCATTTGCCAACTAAGGTTTAGAAAGGAGGGCGTGTGTAGCACAATGGTAGGAGGCGCGCTGCAATACACATGGGGTCGTTACCAGCGCACCAAGCCTACCATCTCTTGGCTTGGGAAAATTAGTATCAGAGTTGCCTGGGAGGATAGCAGCACTGATTCGACACATCGGTAGGCCACCGCTAGTCATTGTAAAAGGCCAGATATGCAATCAGTTACATCCAAAAGTGCTTAGTGAAGTCGCATCCACTGCACATCCCTCAGGGATTAATCATCGCTGAGAGCTTCATCCTTTTTTTAACTGTCTCGATCCGAACATGTCGTCTTCACAGGTGTCGATGACGAGAACTCTATAGGAATTGGAGTGATGAACGTCCATGTTCATTGGTTGAGGTCGTCGTTTTAGCTTCGTAGTAATTTCGTTTCGTTCAGAGCTATCTAAGCAGTAAGTGTGACGATAAACGCTCACCAATAGTTGATTGTACAAGTGGTTAAACGCTTTAGCGTAACGAACGATTCAACTCAAATCCCTATTAGAAGAAAAACTACTTGGTTTGGTGTTTCGTCGCAGCCGTTTTGCAGGCCGAACGACAAATGTCACGCTCCAAAGTCTGTTTTAGCGCTCGGCTACAAACCGCGTACAGAGTGAAGCGGGCCACACATTTCGGTTGTGTCCGATTTTAGTGATCGCTGTGATTGTCGATATTCGCTATTGAACTCTATTTCTATCCGTAATCTCTGCAAATTATCGAAGGTATGGCAGCATCTACAACAAGAGCAACAACAACAACAACATCGACGACGGCGACAACTCGCACCAACCTCGCATCAGTTCAACAAGGGCGGTTCGTAAGGGCATATATATGTAATGTATGTATGTATATGTACATATATGTATATATATATGTGTATATATATGTATATATATATATAGACATCGATTATTTATACCGAGGTTTATAGAAAATCAGTCTTTCGAGTTATCTAGAGTATTTTATTGTTTGATGTTTATCTTGATCCAGAAACGACTTTTATACGTAAGTGTTCTTAGTCGTTACTTTTTTATTTACTGCCTACTCTTTTTTTTAATAGCAGTGTATTGTGTGAAATATAGTCATGATGATGCTGAGATATTTGAAAAACTTCTGACCGCTGGTATCTACGGTGAGGACCGAACGCGCTATTACCCATTTCGGGGAATAACGGGTTCATCACCACACCATGTGAGTCCTTCGTTCCACCCTTCTCTCAGTCTACTTAGTATTCGTTTAATTTTCCTCAGATTAGAACAGGCATATGCCTTAGCTCAAGAAGTCATCATTGTACGTAATCAACCGCTGATAGTTTTTTGTAGTTTAGCCCCTTGTTTTAGAAAAATAAGAATATAGATGCTAGTAGAGCAGTAGTTTTCAAGCCGACTGTCATTTAACATCGGTAGTACTTGGATGAATACCCTCTTGGATTATCACGATTGAAGATAAATTGAAGGACGATTGATGACGAGGAACTATGGACCATCGACGCAAGTCATATCGGCTCTGATGAAGACGAAGACGTCGAGACGTTAGACGAATAAGACTTATATAAGAACTTGTGTAAGCTTAACAATCCAAAAAGGTATAGAAATTATCATTAACAGGTGTCGTCTAGTCAGCCTATGGTAGTCTAACATTCATGATTGAACGGTCCAATTTTTATGTTTTCCTGCGGAGTCTACATTTCAATAGGTATCGACCATAGCGGATCTTTTTCCAGAATTGATCAAACGAAAAATCGATAAGAATTTTGTGTAGCTTTATGATCATCGAACTGGCATTGACCAATTAAATATTCGTCCAATTGAAAAGGTTAATATATTTTTGCGAGGTCTGTAGTAGACTGACTAGTGCCTATGGGTGCGAATTTGTTCGCCCTATGGAGGCAGAACTCATCCCATTGGTTGTGGTTCTCAGAACTAGACTCTCTCAGTGCATGATTTTGGTCTATAAAGGATAAAAGGATAAAACTTTTGGCGTTGGTCAATCCCTGAGAGATGTACCATGCATTCGATTTCATTAAGCATTGTTGGAGTTGATTGAATGCACATCTGGTCTTTACAGTGACTCGCAGTGGCATACCGATGTATCGAGCCAGTGCTGCTATCTTCCCAGATTAGTCCGGTACCAATGTGCCGACCATGGAGGGATGGGAGACTTAGTGAGCCTGAGGGGCGGAGATGGATCACATGTGTATTGCAGGGTGCCTCTGGCTATTGCGCTACGGGCGCTGTCTATTTTGGTGTAAGATTATGTATTAGCTATCCACTCGTCATGAAATGTTCGTAACTGGGTAGTTTCTTTGTCAAATCAATAGAGCCAAGAATTGCTAGCCTTGTGGAAGTAGGTTTTATGAGAACCACTTTATGAAAAATTCAGTACGAATCGTGGTGGCGACTTCAGAACCGACTTTCTTTTAACCTCGGTGTTGTATTTTTTCTTTGATAAGCCTACACGAGGTTGATAAATAAAGAGGTGGCATAATTGAGATGGAGAACTTGAATTGTGCAAAAGCGCAGGATTCAATACTCCTAACATTTTGCTACTACACTAAATTAAGATGACAGGGAACTACTTGCAAAGCGACAGTTTTTTCATGCTATTAAGTGTATAGTGTCGTCTTTGTTTTCACACATGGCCGTCACTCCGCATGGATTTCAATCCATTGTTGTGCTTGGACCTAAGTGGTTTCTGGAAAGTTCTCGGCTCTTCTTTTTACTAAGTTTCCCCCCTCCCCGGCTTTTCATCATCATCTCTAATACCACTACAGTTTTGCATGAGTTTGTCAATCAATCATTGTTATGACGTATGATCAAATTTCTTTATTTTCGATTTGTTCTTGAACGAACTTGCAAGTCTGTTCCCATTCTTTTAATCACAACATTTCATGATTGTTTTATATCCCCTGAACTGTGTTCCTCGGTCCTGAACCGCAACGATTAGGGAGAGCCCATTCCCTCGCAGCCTCTCCAGCACTGAAAAAGCGTCCGACATCTCCATCTAGAGAGGCAGCGACGAGTGCAAGGAATCATTTCCATCGTGGCAATAAAATACTCGCGAACTGGCAAGCAGTGACAAGTTGGGAAAGATCAGCAGAACTTTGGAGACTTCAGAGAAGGAAGATCTTGCTCAAGTCAGCAAATTGCCGGTCAAATTACAGTTGTGTTGGACCATTCAAGTATCCAGTGATTCAGTTAATGCATTTAATGCAACTGAACCACTCTTAAGCGATGTTTCGACTTCCGACTTACTTTAGTTCCTACCGTAAGTAAAAGTCTCTTGAAACGTTTCTTTTTAAGGTTCTTTGATGACTGCCATATAAGTAATGCTAGAGCCTTCGCGCACTTCCGAGCTTTAACAATGATATCGTAGTCTTTGAGCAATGAAGTATTCGTTTGTTCTTTCGAAATGTTTCGAAGAATGTTTATTGTCTACTTTTATTTTGTTTGTTTGTTTTCTGTGTCTGTTTAAAGCGTTGATTTTCTAATATTCTGTTCTATCGTGCTTCTACTTAACAGTATACTCCATGTGAGTACATGTATGGCCATAATTGCAGGTTCCATGTTCAGGTGAGGCTTTTATCCGGATAGGGTGAGTGGATGCAGCTTTGAGTATATCACTGTAGCTTCCCACCATTGTATTTCAGTTCTACAGAGAAGTTAGATTTTCCTTGGTTGTTTGGTACTTTCGTCCTTTGATTCTGTGGATTTAGAAATATTTCCGAGGTTTACCTTTAATGCGTACTTTTGGACTTTAGAGTACTTTTTCTATTATTTTATGTACTGTTAACGAGGATAAATAAAACACTAGAATCCTGCCGAGACTGGTGATATGACATAGAAAAGTATGAAAATAAAGTTGTCAATTTTTATTTTCTGCATGCTCTGTTTTAGTGACAGGATATTATGTGAAATATAACTATACTGATGCTGAGATTTTTGCAGTGGTGTAGGACATGCATGGTGTGGTGGTGAATGTGTTAGCCCCGGAAAGGGAGCCCCAGAAAAGGTAATAGCGCGTTCATTCCCCACCGCGGACACCTGCGCTCCGGAGTTTTGCAAATATCTCAGCACCATTGTGTAAACAAACTTTTTCGAACTATTGTGGACCACCAAAGGTTTTTTTTTGTGAGGTGGCCTCGTATTGTTTTCGACGTTTACGAAAGATTTGTGAACACTGTAAACGGGCGCGGGTCGCGCAAAGTTAGGATGGAGAAAATGACTGTCTAGGATTTTCATGTGCCATTGGTTCGGTGAATTTCAATTTATCGAAGAGAAAGGTCTTTCCACATCATTTTTCAAGGTTTTCTTTGTATATTCTATTTGTGCATCGTTTTTCGTTGCAACGCTATTGTGCAAATTATGCTTGTCGAATTACCGTGTCGTAAATGTGTTCTTTCGTTTATTGATTTTCTTCGCTGTTGTTGTCGCTCGCTTGCTCAACAGAATCTGAACATGGTTGTAGTCCGAACACTATTGTAACTGAGTCATACGTATTTCAGTATAAGGTCTTATGGCCGATTGTGCAGGTCCTCTACGACCTGCGGATAGTTGGTCCACAACGGAAGTCCGTTCAGTAACTCATAGGTACTCATAGTTTATGTGAAGAAATTTCGACGGTATTTGTTAAATTACAGTGTGGTTTTAGTCATGTATGGACCATTAAAGGATTCAGCCAATGTGAATGTCGATACCTCGAAACCTCGGCGAAGATTCGTGATCTCACGGCAAGTTCTGTTCTATTTTCATACTTCCTTTTCGTCTCAGTTTCCTTTGTTTTTCATTTTCTAAATTTTTATTCCTTTTTATGACTTTACATTACAAAAATGACGCATTTAACAAGAGTGATTGATGTTACCTCCAACAGATTTTAGCAAGATCATCAGTCCTTTTGAAAAAGTAAGAAAATATGGGTAATAGAACTCAAATACAAAAGATGAGAAGGTGCTATCGTTCATAAGTAGAGTAAGAATTCCTGTCTTTCTCAAAACTTGGGTGCTTGGTCTCTGAATGGTTTTATTTTATTGACATGTACTGGTTTACTGCGCCTACTCTTTTTTCTTCGTGGGAAGTACTGGGAGGTTTTTCTGTAGCGAACCACTGCCAAGGTGGTGTTAGAGTGTTATTGTTTCTAGCAAACTTTCCAAGGAGAAGTTTTGGGGTTTTAGAGCTCATTACCGAAGTATTGGTGTTGTAGTTTGCAAGTTTTCGATGATTTGTTGTCAAGTATTGGATGGATTAGAGAGGTTTTGTGGATCGTGAAATATGTTGAGAATGATCAATCACCGACAATGATGCTAGGATACTTGCAAAACTGTGAACCGCAGATGTCTGCGGAGGGATCGAACCTCGTCATTACCCTTTCCAGAAGCTAATGTGTTCACCACTACACCATGCACGACCTTGGTTTCGCATTTCTTCCAGCCATGTTTGACCAATCATACCTCTTTGTTGTCAAAGTCATAAATAAGTGCAGTAGCACTTTCATTGAAAGTAATGCTTTTAGGGAGAGAGAAATTTAGGGGTTTTAGAGCAATTTTTCGAAGTATTGTTGTTCTAGTCTAGAAGTTTTCGAAGGATTCATATCAATTATGGAATAGTTTTGGAAGCTTGTCGACGGTTAAGTAAAATTTAGAATGACCATTTTGTTCCGTTCGTTCTTATAGTCGTAAATGATTGTAGTATCGTTTTTCGTAGATAAAATGAGGGCTTTGTGATGACCTTGTTAACATGAAGATGAGGTTACGAAAAGGTTCATTTTAGCAAGTTACACCTATGTCTATACCGTCAACAACGTCTACATCAAACGTCTCGACAGCAACATTGGAGCCGCCAATGCTTACGTTCCGTATTCGATTACATCCTCAGGGAAACAAAGAATCCAATAAGGATTTTAGTTTTTTTCAAGTATGTGCTTAAATTTCCTTGTTTATTTGACCTTTTCGTAACAGTGAATCCATCGTTCCATTTACTTTCAGCCTTTTTTAAAAGAAATTTTGTCAAGTACTTTCTTGGACGTACTACTGGAACTATCTGTGCATATTTGGATGAACCTTCGTTAGTAAAATTTTTCTAGAATAATATATTGGAGCATTTGGAAAAGAAGCATATTCCAGGTTACAGTTTCAAAGGTTCAACTAGACTGGGTAGCTTTGCTAAACATTTGCTGTCGCCAAGCTTCTCGTTGCATCGTCTTTAATCGATAGTTCCGCACTGTTGATCAATAAATAATGAAGAGAAATACCACGTAGAAAGCAGTTTTTTAGTGCTTAATAACAGCGAAGAATAAAGGAGAAAACTCACGGTGTTGATCAATCCTTGAGGAATGTACCCTGTATTTGACCTCATTAAGCATCGCTTGGAGGGTGGCTGAGTGTGACGGGCCTTTAAAATGACTCGCGGCGGCTTACCGATGATCAACTCAGTGCTGCAACCTTCCTAGGCAACTCTGACATCAATTTGCCGACCCCGGTGGGATGGAAAGGTTGGTGAACTTGGTGCGCGTGGATCTATCCCATGCGCATTGCATGGTGCCTCCGACCACTGCGTCACATACACCCTATAGCGTTTAATACTGAGTTGTATTGTAGGAGCCTGTTTTTTTCCCATTAATATTTTGAGAATTGATATCCTATGGTGAAGTTCAGGTTTAAATTTCTTGGAGTGCTTCCACATCCAAGTGTTTGTTATTGATCTAGCTGCTGTTGTTGTCTGCGCGTGCCTACTGAGTTCGATCCACTTGGAAAATGTTTTCCTGAAAGTACATTCTCATTGCCATCGTCCGTTTGTTTATGAAAATAGTCGAAGCAGCGCTTTGCACGGCGCTAACTAAGCGAGGGATCCTTCGGAGCACGTTAAATCAGTGTTCTTTTTTAGACGGGTGTCTGACAAATGTAGACATAAGCTGAAATCCTTAAGTTTTTGTCAAGTTTGAAGTGATCTAAAACAGAGGTCTATGGGTCGTAGTAATATCCTTATGATTATAGTTTACTGCTACACTCAGGTTCACATTGCTCTTTATTTCCGTTTCTTTATTTTTCTCGCAAAACCTCTGTTATTTGGTTAAAATGTTTTTTAAAACTACTTTAGTGTATACTTGGAACTTGGTTCCTTGAGTTTTTAATACTTTGTTTAACGCACTGAAGGCGACGTTAGTTTTTGGACAGCTGTATATAGTGAGGTTCGTAACATATTAAAGGTTTACAATCCTCTTTATGTTCTGAGAAATCTACCTACTTAGCTGTTAGTTTTCAAATAATGAACTATCAGAAAAATGATGTGAAACGGAATACCAGAAATTTATAGGTTTTGCTGAAGCTGACGCCATTATTTGTGAGGATAGGCCATCGAAGTAAATAAACTTACCATGGGATAGGAAATTGGGTTATATTGGTCAAACATTTTGCCTATTGCGCTGTTCTGTAGTGTAAATATATACCGTAGAAGAAATTTTGCTAATTGCTACTTACGGACAACACAGAAAGGAAGTGGACAAGTCTGAGACCGCTGATCGCCCAGGACGTGCTGTTGTTAACAGCAGTATTTCTGTAGACTTAGTAGAATTAGTGCGGCATGAAATAAGAAAGACTTCGTTGGGATAATGGCGATGGGATAATCTATGAACCTTACTCATTTCTCCTAACAACTACGCTGGCGTTCTTCATATTGTGACTGTGATGGCGTTGACTATATCTGGTGTAGTTTTCAGTTTCGAGTCTTTCTTTCTATATTCATTTCAGTGTTTTTCGAACCAGACAAATGTGCAGTTCAAAGCTAAGTTCAAGTTCACGGTGTTCAACTCACGAAATGAGGAAATTCCCACAACGGTCTATACAGGGACTCAACAGGTTGGAATACGTTGATTTCTCTTTGTTGGAGTGTTTGAAGGAGTCATACAATGTTGTGCTTAAGGTTTTGATTTGAAATGATCTATAATAGCTATGAAATTTTTCGTTGTTGACTTAAAAAAATGGAACTTTTGTTGTCAAAAACCTTATGATTGACTTTTCGTTCCTTCTTTTTTGTAAGTGGAAAAGAATATTAGTTACAATGTCTTCCTTTTTTTCTTTTTTTTTTGAAACTACCAAATATTAGGAGTAATGTTGCTCGAGAGTAGATCACATGCATCGCTCGAAAGTTTAGCTTTAATACGTTTGCGACGATATGAGTCGCATGTGACTAGTACCTGGCCAAAAATATATTAGCTGTTCATTGAAAGGAGGTTATATCGTCTCGTTGTGATTTCTACTGGTTGAACACTGGAATTTTCGTCAGTTTGACTTTTCCTTTGATACTCTGCGATGATTCAATCTTTCATTACCTGAAGTCTACAAATCGTTTTTTCGCTTCTTGTCGGATCTTGTTTTTCGAACAGCTGTGCTGCTTCAGGAAGTGGGATTTCATTCAGAAAAACATGGTGTAATCCACGAATGCTCGTTATAAAGGGCGATATCCGTACTTTTGTTGAAAAGTTTAGGAATTCTTAACTTTTTAAACGCTTTTTTACGTTTGGTTTTTAGACTAATTTGGAACGTGAATGAAATGCCGGAAAACATTTACAGCAAGGGTTTTTTTAAAAATTTATCGGCTTTTTCATTGCTCTAGTTGGTGAACAAATATTTGTACTTATCAAAAAAAAAAAAAACCAGCAAGACTGTGAATGAGTTACAATGATAGGAGCCGTTATAAAAATTCGCTGTTAACCGTGTTTCTTTTCAGCTTCATGGTTACTTCGAGTACATACGTCGAGATCTCCTAATTAGCCATGTACATCCGTCCGATGAACTTCAGTTAGTGTTGAACATGACAGTAACGTTTGATACTGTAACCAGGACTAGTCAAGCTCCTAAAGCTCTCGGCCCACCCGAGCCAAAACCAGCAGAAGTGAGTCTTTTTCCGCTTTTTTTTTGCCGAGAAGTTAATGTCTTATCTGGGAAAAATCTTATAGTTTGCTGCTGTTGGTTTCATCTTCGTGTGTTTGATTCATGTGTAAAACATCGCTGCATTGTTTTATCATCTCAATGATGGTGAAGCTTGTGTTTCAATTTTTTTGTTAACTTAACAGAAAAGCGTTGTAGATATATAGCTTTATTGTACCAAACTATATCTTTTTACATACTTTTACACCTCAAAAAAAAAACATAGCTTGATTAGGTGACAAAGGATCTCGAGTCAATATTCAAGGATTCCAAGTTGTCAGATTTCACTATTGTCGTTGGAGACAAAGAAATTCCAGTTCATAAGGTTAGTTTCTTTGACATGAGTGAGTCACTTTTTAGCATTTTTTAAAAATCGTTTTTATGTAGATGCTGTGTATTCGGTGGAAGGTGTTGTATTGTTTCTATTTAGACACATTGGTCACGTACGCTAATTCAGTTTTTCTAATAAAGATATTTTGTATAATGTTAACTGCTTATTTGCTGCCTACTACAATTTTTCACGACGGAGCATTATGTGACATACAACCGAAATGATGCTGAGATATTTGCAAAGCTCCGGCCCGTAGGTGTCTGCGGTGGTGAACAAACGCTCTATTATCCATCCCGGGGGCTAACGCTTTCACCACCACACCTTGCAGGTCCTTCGTTTCGCTTATCTCTCAGCTACTTTTCTATTTCGTATAGTTTGTCTGTCAGTTGTGGATTCTTCTAACCAGTGATTGATGTTCTCAATGGCTCGCTAGGATAAATCGATGAGTCAATGTCCTTTTTCGAATTAAACGCTTAGGAATGGTGATTGGACAGATCTCTCGGAATGATGGAGGGCTCAGAAGGGGCGGAGTTAGAGTTAGCGTGGTTAGCGCGTTGCTTAGCTGAAGGTGTTTTGTTACACTTTAAGCACAGGAATTAAAGAATGATATGTTTATTTTTGTTTTATATAATTCTAAAGGAGGGATCACTCTGATTTGATTGGTTCAATGAGCCGGAAAAGCCGTATAGAATTGACGAAACCTTTGTCTTTTTTAGCATATTTGACTACGCAAGGTTGCCTTCTGTTTAAACGATGAACCATCAATGTAGTCCCAGTTAGCACCTCTGTTTGTTTCTGACAGATTTAGTTCCTCATGATTCATACTCCTTAGGTAGTTTTATCTGCGCGATCTCCAGTGTTTGCTGCCATGTTGGAGCCGCATACAGAGGAAGCGAAAACAAATCGGGTCGTATTAGAAGACATGGATTACGAGGTGACTATTTCTACTTTTTCAACCACAATGGTGCTGATATATTTGCAAAACTCTGGAACGCAGGTGTCTGCGGTGGGTAACGAACGCGTTATTATCCTTTCCGGGAGCTAATGCGCGCACCACAACACCATGCGGATCTTTCGTTTCGTCTTTTTCTCGGCTACTTTTTATATATTTCTCTACTTTTTCATTTACAATTTTTGAAGCATTTTATTTATTTTTAATTGAAGTTGATACAGAATTAGTTCTTAGTTCTAATTGAGGTAATGCACGAGCTATTGATGTACATGTATTCGGGTCGGTCACCAAACATACAACAAATGGGCTTGGAACTCCTAGCTGCTGCCGACAGGTTTCAGTTGCCTGGACTTAAAGAGATGGCTGATCATGTGAGTAACTGATCCGTTTCCGCAAATATGTTTGAAAGATAACCCAATGTGGTTTTTATCAGTGTGTTTTTAAACTGTTATGAATATTAACATGGCAGTTTCGTTAGTGAACCTTCGATTCAAATTCTACAATTTCTTGTTTATGCCCATTTGCAGCTTCCAGTGTAACTCCGTTAATGATGTCTTGCATCATGTCATTGCTATTTTATGAGCTCACTTAATGTTTACCTGAAGGAATGTTCCAGTGTTTTCTTTACTCATTCAGTTATAGGTCTTAAGGAGTGGCTTAATTGTTGATACGGCGTGTAAATTTTTGGTGTACGCCGACATGTACAATTCCAACGATCTGAAAACAGAAGCTGTGAAGTTCATTGCTCAGAATATCAACAGTGTTATTCAGGTTGGATCGTTATTTTATTTTATGAAGTATGACTATGATTAGAGCGTGTGTAGCGCAGTGGTCGGAGGCACCCTGCAATACACACGGGTTCGATCCCCGCGCCCCAGGCTCAGCAAGCCTTCCATCTCTTAGGGCACGGAAAATTGGTACCAGATTTGTCTGGTAGGGTAGCAGCACTGGCTGGATACATCAATAGGCGAGCGCGAGTCATTGTAAAAGCCGGATATGTATTCAAACACCTAGAACGATGCTTGGTGAATTCGAATGCACGGCGCATCCCTCAAAGACTGATCATCGCCAGAGATCTATCCTTTTTTATCGTTTATGGTTATGATTGGAAAGGAAAACGGGACACTGAGATTTGAAGTTCATAGTGTTCTCTATTGTGGAAATACATCTGTTGAGCTATCAATCGATAACAAATCACACCTGATTTTCCAGACGGATACATGGGCCGAGTTAACACGTGACCATGGTTGTCTCGTTACGGAAATCGTTGCACACATGTCGAGTGAGCGAAAACCTTGCATCGGCAGTGTGGCCAGTAATACGAACAGTATGCACATCGTGTCGTTAAGCTCCTGTAAGTTGTATGACCATTACTTTCTTTTCATCGTACACTGTCGTTGTCCGAGTTGCGAATATAGTCGTCTTTGTGTTTACTGCGTGCTTAATCAACTCGCTCTAACGAAATTTGGCTAATCTTGGATAAGTTTGATCAGGAAATCAATCGTTGATTACTGTTTATTTTAGATTACTCGTCTTCATGTGTCGTGTGGTTCCAGAAACTTATTCTATTCATTTCGTTGTTTCTGTGTTCCATTACAAAATGAGGACCTATTATGTTCATTCCTCAGTCAAATTTTGATTGCTAGTTAAGCGTTGTTTTCTTTGGAGTGCTGAATTAGCAGTGAATGAACGAAGTTTTCACACCATTCCACGAGCTTTCTGGATCAGAGGATGGTTTAGTGCTTTGAAAATCGCGTTCTTCCGAGAGCGATTTCTATGGCAACATCGAACCCAAAACTTAGTTGATTAAATGGTCGAGAACGATGTAATAAGTTGAATAGGCATTGTTCGTTTAATCATGAATTACCTCTCCAAATAAAGAGTGCTATGGCAGCAAAGGTAAACAGTTAAGGAAGAGATAGTGCCTAGAAATCCATTTAAAGGGGCGGTGTTGCACAGTGGTCGGAGGCGTTGTGCGATACACACATGGGATCAATTCCCGCGCACCTGGTTCACCAAGCCTTGCATCTCTCCAGAGTCGGCAAACTGGTACCAGATTTTTCTGGGAGGATAGCAGCACTGGTTCAATGTACCGTTAGGCTAACGAGAGTCGTAAAAGCCAGATATGCATTCAGTCACCTCCAACGATGCTTAACAAAGTCGAATGCATGGCGAATCCCGCAGGGATTGATCAAAGATGAGAGCTTTATCCTTTTATTCTTTAGCCCATATAATTCTAAAATCTGTGACCTTTCTGAGCTAATACCTAATTGGTTTGTCCAATAATTATTAGTTTGCTTCAGATTAGCCATTTCTGAGCTATAGCTCGATCTATGTATACTACCTCTTTCAGTGTCTGGTATCGAGCCACCTACTAAACGTATACGGCTCCTAACACGCGAATAACTTATGTGTTTGTCGTGCGGACGGAACAGTAGGATATTGCAATATTCGTAAATTTCGTTACTAACTGTACATTGGTGATGCGGGCTTCCGCTTCTTGTGCATAATGTATTTTGTCATTGAAGTTGTCGTCACATTCTAAGTTCTTTTTGTGTAGATTGGTTGTTTCAACTTGCTACTTCTCTAGATTCACTCTTTACTAATCTCAGTCTCGCGCTCTAGATAATAACAAATTTTACAAGTATATTCTTAAGATAGTGTTTCATATCTGTTTATCCAATTAACCAAACTGTATTCCACTGAACATGTGTGCTGTTCAAATGGTAATAGTGATAGGATGATGAGTACTACGGTTGTTTGATAAGTAGCATTAGTTTTCGTACCCAAGGCTGCATGACATGCATAACTCCAAGTGGTAAGTAGGGTAAACTACCAGAAAGTGGACTTTTCGTCTGGTTTATCTACTATATGAAATGCACAGGTCAAATGATAGGTGAGGTAAACTACCATGAAATGAAGAACCTTTTCGTCTGGTTTACGTACTGCATGACATGCATAGCCCAACTAATAGGTGAGGCGAAGTACCAGAAAGTGAACCTTTTGGTCTGATTTACCCCACTTTTGTTCACTGAGTACACATTAGTGCGAAATGGAATTGTCGTCTGTTAGGGCCTCATTTCTATCAATGACAGTGATGTTAAGGGTGCAGCAGGAATTTGTTTTGCGGAACTTTCTTCAATCGTTGTTATCACGTTTTAACACGAACTAATGCTTTTGATTTATTGTCAGTTTGTGTACCGTCAACTCGTACTATTCCCAAGTAATCGTTTTATACGTCTCCCACCACGATGTTGATCCCTCTTTACCACATTAAACAGGTACTCCTTTCTCTGTGTTATTGTAATATATAATACTGTGTTCGTTCTATTACCGTAACTACTTTTTGTTCTGTGTTTGTGTTGAAATCTGTACATGTTGTGTGTAGATTATCACTCATTGATTATACATATGTAAGAGGTGTTCAGATTTATCATGAAGTGATCATCTACATTTATTTCATTTTCCTTCCTGTTTGTCATCATTCGCCGGTATGGATTATTAAATTGATAAAAGATGCTCCATGTGTGGATTCCTTTTTGATTTGTTGGAAACGTTTAGGGGTAAATCTGATGTTCTCCAGAAAAGTGATATTTAATTACTGCATAGTAGGGAATGTATTAATGCTGAAGCGTTTCTAGAGATACTAAAATAGAAGTGTTTTCGCAGAGTATATATGTACGTCACCTGTTATCACCTCTCTTCCCGATTGTCGTCGAGTGACTCGACCGGGCACCACTAAATCATCATTTCTTTCTGTCGCATGCAAGAGTAGACCGGAGGGTTCTGCTCCCCTTAGAGAGTCGTTGAGCATCATATCTTTCTTCCGGGCTTTTCCTGAAAATCTCTGGCCATCCGGTCCGTGGTCTTTCTGCGGTACGTTTTACATCCCGAGGAATCCTGTCACCAAGGGCTCTCGTCCAGCGGCTGTCGTTCGTACGCATTACGTGTCCGCCTCGCCTTATCTTCGACTGTTTGGCGTAAAGAACGGCATCTTTGATTTCTGATCGCTAGGGCAGGTCGAATATTCGCATCTCTTTCCTCAGTTTTGTGAAACAGGATACTTATAGCATCGTTTTTTCGACTGCGTATTCAATGGCGCTGAGTGATCCTTCATCCTGTTTACGCAGAGACCAGGTAACTGACGCAGACTGTAAGGCAAGAAGTATCGTGGAGTCAAAAAGGTGGGTACGAAGTCGGGTGTTCTTTGTTCTTCTTAGTAGCTCCTCGACGATCTTAAGCTCCCCAAGCCTATCGTTTCATTCTGCTAAACTCTGGAGCTAAGTCGTTCATCATGTTGATTTCCCGACCTAGATAGAAGTAACACGAGCATTCTGGGATACTCACACTGTTGAGCGTGAATGTGGGGTATACGGAACCTCATGGTAGCCGTTTCTATGAGATTTCTGTTGTTTTCTGTTTTTGTTTCTCCAGTTTTTTCCTGCGATATAGTCGAATACCCGTTTTCAACAGGCTTTATCAAAGTCGGATAGCATTCGTTCCGCACGGCTAATGCTTGGCGTTATAAGAACGACGTCATCAGCAAAGCGAAGATGGTGTAATTGACGACCATCGATTTCCGTCCCCATCTTATCCCATACCAATGTTCGCCATACTGTGGGCTGGCAATAAACAACAATTTTTGCGAGATGGTACTGCTATGCCTAACCCCTCTTTACGTCGACATTAATATCCTTGCATAATGGTGACAGCTTCGTTGCGAAATCTTTATATAGCTCACGAAGAATCTTTATGTATTGAGGGCCTCCTTGAGTCTCAAAGGCTTCCATGACTGCTTCTATCTCATTTGAATCAAAGGCCTTCTGTAGATCGATGAAAGTGAGACGGAGCGGTCTTTTGAACTTTCGCAATGCTTCAATGAGTTTTGTAATCGTGTAGATATGATCCATCGTACTAAATCCTTTTCGAAACTCTGATTGCTCACATGGCTGCTCTTCGTCCAGTGTTTTGTTAATCCTGTTTAAGATGACACAAGTGAAAGGTTTGTAGACGACAGACAGCAAGCGGATTGGACAATAGTTGCCGATTTCGTGGAAGTCACCTTTCTCGAACAATAACACGGTTTTGCCGTGCTTCCACTGAGTAGAGACTTTGCATTCAGACAGGTAACGTGTGAAGAGCCGAGCCAGTGTGTTTACGAGGACTGACGGAAGGTTCTTCAGGTGTTCTAACATTATCCTGTCCGCGCCAGGTGCTATTCGATTTTTCGCCGACGAAATGGCATGTCGGAGTTCGGAAGAGACAACCGGTGGTACAACATATCCATCCACCTTTATTTCATGTGACGTAAGGTGGACGTGGCTATCGGAGAGATCTAAGCACTATTCGTGAATGATTTTCTCCATTGGTTTTCTGGACGCTGTAACTGTTCCGTTTGGGCGTCTGGACATTCGAGTGCAATCGTCTTGATGTTGTAACTGACAAAGCATCGGTGAGCTCTGCGAATGCTTTTCACAGCCTCTTCAGTTTCAACCATTACTGCTGCTCTTATCTCTTTAAGATCAACTTTTGTCGCCGGTCTACATTGCTTTGCAAGTCCGGATGTTAGATCGCGGTTGTCTACAGCATTCGACGTTGGTGTATCAACTCGAGTGTTTCTGGAGGGAGATGTCTCTTGGTGACTTTCGAACTTTCAGCTTTCATAGTGCTGACATTAAGATGTTGAATGAGCCGATTGTGTTTCTCGTCAATGTTATCGACAACGGCGTCTTCTCAGCAGCCGAATAACGAGTTGAATAAGTCCCAATCTATTTTGGTTTTGCACTTCGTTTCTTGAATTTAGCGAATCCGATTGGGGTTGTAAGTTATTCGAATGAATCGATGTTCACTGATAAACTCGCGCTGACGCCGCCGACTCCTCTGCTGTCGCATGTTTCGAGGAACAACTCGAAAGACCGACTTTCTGTAAACCTCGGCATAGATAGTTGATATATTTATTTATATGATCTTGTAAACTGATGTTCTTAAGCTGACGCGAGGTTGGTACAGGTCTTCGTTGTTGTTGTCGTTGTTTTTGATGTTGTTGGTCGATGGCTGACGTTTCGGCGACTTCG